GGTACCTACAAACTTTAAAACTATCGGCTAACTATGACGATGCCAATATTTTATATACTGACAGAATAAAAATAATTAACTTTTTTTGGAAGAAATACCAACTTTGTTCAACTTTCTGGTACAGAATACTATTTTGAAAGTTGTTGTCGTTGGGAAAGCTTTAAAGATTAATATAAGCTGCCAGACTCATGAGTATTCTGAATAGCGCAAGAATCTGAGAATCCCCAAAACTAATTTAGAAAAGTGAAAGCTCAAGTGTTTTGTAATCCAGCCACATGGTCAATATTTAATCTACTCACAGCACATTGGAAAAAACTGTCAATTCAACGTAATTAGGCAACTAAACATTTTTTATTACAAGTGAGCCTAAATAAACAAAATGTTCAAAGAAATAAAAAATAGCAAAAACTACTCTCTAACTTGTTTGGAAGGTTTAATTTACGTTACCTCTGTATATTTGGATTTGTAAAATGTAAATAGATAGTATTATATTCAACCACGATATAAAAATGAACAGACTCACGTTTTGTCGAGATGTTTAAATGAAGTGATCTAACGAAGAAAATAACAAACAACTCCTAAATTTTATCTACTTAATCCTCAACACTCAATAGAACCTAGCATGATAAGAAATCTAGTGATAGTTTCACCTTAGCAATGGATTGACAGTTGACAAGATACATTTACAAAATTAAATTTGAAATATTATTTTTTAGTCTGTTTATTAGCTTAAAATCCACTGAGTGACTTGCCTGAATCTAAAGTCTGCTCCTTCCCTTCTGTTAACTAACCCTAATTACATCATTAGCAAATTCAATTTGACGTGAAAAGTTATTTATAGTTTGAGTCTAAAATAAAAATTTTGAATTTTCCCGATAGTTAACAAGCAACTTATGACAAATTGATTTACCCTCTATTGCCAATATGGGAGACAACTTACCGAGTTATAATATTAATTAAAATTATTTACTAGCATTATACAAATGTTATTATAACGCCAAACATTACTACAAACCTTGAAAAATCGCAACCACAACTGGTTCCCTGGAACCACCTCAAGTAAAATTACACCCAAGAGATAACGATTGGATTGATGGCAGAGCAGACCATTGTGAAACATTGAACCCGAGACACAAACACAAAACCAGTTTGGAAATGTTTTCCGTTTGTCCGTGAGAAAACCAAGGCGAGCCGCATGGTAAATAAAAACACGAGAAGTGCAACAGTAGCGAAAGGGTCAAGAAACAGCTGACACATGGAAACCGACACGTTCTGACGAGGTGAAGGTTGTAGAGTATCAACGGGAATGTAGGCCACAGAAGATGATACCAGATTTGGAAATAACCAGGAGAAATCATAGGTGAAATTAGGTCTAGGACTCAGGGTGTTAGGACCAAATCTCTTTATTTACAGGTTTAATTTTGCATTTAGTGGTCTAAATTGTTTTTTCTTATTTCAAATTAGTTTTTTAATGAGCGATTATTGAAATTAAAGGCTAGGTTTAAAGGAAAATTCGTAGGAAAATAGATTGTTATAAAGAGTTTTAAATATATTTAATAGATAATAAAAGTTAATTGGAAAAGTGCTTGGCATAATTTGAGAAATTTATTATTGGCAATATAATAGTTTTTCTTAATAGCTTTCACTCAACTACAACATTTGTGGGATTGAACTTCTCAAGCAATGAATAGGACAACAGTATTTTTTTATGTCTAGGTAAGGCATGGTTTTCAAATCTCAATAATACTCTTACTTATGATGACATATAACATAACAAAATTCTAATATAAGAAAAAAGAAAAAAGGACCTTAATTCAATAGCGAAGAGACACAAAATAATTCTAGCACCATAATTAATATTTTACAGCAAAAACACATTTGTTTAACTCAGGTTATTACATGTATTACAAAACTGAATTTTGTCAAAATTTACAAGAAAGGGGGTGACAAACTAACCTAACAACATATGGCAGGTTGAATTTCAAATACCTTTCCTTGACGACTGAGTGTAAAAATAGCAAAGTTGTCTACTAAACATTGTTTTGCCACAAGGTAAGTTTCCACACCGTACTAATGAGTATTCAATAAAGTGTATAATTCACCCACGGCAGAATTTCTCTATCAGTGTGTGCATTTAATGATTAGAAAGTAGAAAACTGTCCATTATAGTGTTGTAAACACTTTGGAGATTAAAATTCGGCATTGCAAAATATGTCCACATATTTATTGACTCTAAGTAAGTTAAGCTTTATAGACTATTTTTACCTTCTTTGTACATTAAATTTTTACTGCCAGCTGATTGTTCGCTTTTGGAACTCATCTGCAGGATTATTACAAATAGATAACTATTATTCAGTAAACCCCTCGATAGTAGTAAGTTTGCTTGATCCGGGCAGCCATTTGAGAAGCAGTATATAAAATAATTAGCAGTGCCACCCTTAACTACTAGGTATTGTAAATATTTTTTAACACATAACTACTGTTTATCCAAAAGGTTTTTTCTGTTTCATATAAAGGGTACTCAAACAATCTTGGAATACTGCTACCTTTCTTCGTGTAAGAATCGTTCAATTCAATCCAAACGTCCATTAAAACAACCTAATTCGGTACCAATGAATGGGAATTAACTAAATGTGTGACTTTCATAAATGCAAAACCTAAATTGAATAGTGAAAGGTTAGTTGTGATAAGACTATATTTTGAACCAATTCGTCCACTAACATTTTTACCACGTAATAACCTGGCTAACTAGTAAGTAACTACCGAGATAATATTGTTTACTAATCTCTGACTAACACCATGAAGTGAGATGGAGTCAAAATGGAACTAGTTAACAAACATGACATCATTGCCATAAGTACTAGCGTAAAGAGCTAATTCATACACGTGCGCAATTAGATCTGAACGCAGTTTGCTCTTAAACGTTTTAGAACAAACAATTTTCTCTCTATAGCTTGGAGGACGACAACATTCATTTACAACATCCATCACAATTTGTCACAATTAAATGACAATTATGATGGTTGAATTATTCCGCTACCACACACATTGTTTGCTAACATTCTAAAACAATGCCGTCTGCGTAAGAAAAAAGAATTCACCTTAAAAGGTTTATGCTGGAAAGCGTTAGGGTATTTATTACTCGTAATTAGGATTTACTCAGGATAGCTTTCATAGGAGATGTGTGTTGCTTACAAGTAGTTGAAAGAATCTTAATACTTAATAATTTTCTGTTCTGAATCCATACCAAAAATTTTAATTTGAGAATTAATTATTTAATGGCCTGTGTAAAAAATCGTAGTCATTTTCTCTAATTTGAGAAAAATGTTGTTGGATTGTTTAATTTAAAACTATATCGTTACCTACAACCCAGAAATTGTGTGAATAATGACTATTATTGGACAGCCTTAAGTACATAAATAAACTTAATCTGTTTAAAATAAACTCAATGAAACAACACTTTAATAATACTTTTGTTGAACAAATTATTGATGAAGGCTAACCAATATCTTTGATTGAGTGGTCAAATTTAGATAAACATGTTATTTATGTATAAGGTGAAAAGTTAGAGATCTGCAGCAACTGGCAGTTGTATTTCACTATGAGTAAATTAATGTATGAATGAATTATTAGCACTTAATGCGGGTTTAAGTTAATTGGCAATTTTTCAGGTCTTGTATGAGTTTATTAACTACTATCTATTAAACATGGAATTTTAAAGATTCAATCTACTTGAAATAAGTTCTTATTTGGTGTTTGTTCTTTAAGTTATCCCTAACTTTTTTAGTTTATTTTACAGTTTTAAAGCCATGGTGATTTTGTGTGGAATAACATCTAAAGAATATTCTAAAATGTCAAAAGTACAGTAGGTATTCATAGTACTTAGTTTGTATTCAAAATAGTTATGTGATATTAATCAACTTGGGTTACTTAATATTTTAATAATAAAAAAGCGCAATCAACAAAAGCGATAAGGCTAAACACCGTAATGCCGCGGTTAAACCCATCGACATTACGCACTACAGCCAATCACAACAAAAGCTTAACCTCATTCCCTCTAAGCTAAAAACAACTCACATTTAGAACAGAGTGAAAACAAGGCCGCGAGTAGCAAAGTTAATATCGAAAGTTACCAAACAGATGCTAACTAAAGTGACAAATCCGCTTTCCAGTGCCACCTACTTACTAGTCCACTGACAGGCAGAAATAACCACGGACTTACAACCGTTTACAACTGACTACACCCATTTGGTCTTATCAGAACTGAGAATAAACATGATTCACTTCTGTCACAGATAAAGATGTGCTTGCTGACAAACACCAGTTCACTCTAAACTCTTTAAAATTCTGAGAAGTCGAAAGTTTGCAAATGAAAGAATTAGTCAGAATCGGAGCTTTTGATTATTTTTCACCTATACCTAGCTGGGTAACGACAATCATAAAATTTAAATATAAATTCCTATGCTGATTCACTACACCAGTGGTATTTTTGTTACTTATGTTTCGGTCAGTTTTAATTATTGTAAGTGATGTAATTGCCAGTGTTAAACGGTTATTTTTTTAAGGAATTCCGTTAAGGTTGGTCCTAAGGAAGGGTAAATCCGCCAACAAATTAAACTTCTTTTGATTAGAATTCAAAAAATAATTTTTTTAAATTCTGCAGTAAAATTAGTAATCGCAAGGGACGTAATGCTTCAGCTTAATTATTACGAGTAAATGTTAAGTTTTCCAGTTTCAGTCTAATTGCATAAATTTTAGATTTAAAAAAAATCTAAGTCGCATCTGGTGGTTTAAATTTATGTGATCTTTCATATTGAAATTCGTCCTCCATCCCAAAGTTAATTAAGTAATAGTTCACCCTTGTTTAGGCTATTTCCTTCAAAATTTGTCAATTAGCCTGGGCTAAAGTTTTAAAAAAGGCATAAATTGCGTTTCTTTGCCACACATGCTTAGCTACATGTTTAAATACCTAAGATTGAGTTTCCGAACACAAACATTACCTTCTGCGCAGGTGACGAGAAATTTTCCGTTGGAGCTGAAGTCAAGGTCCGTGACATGGCCCGAGTGACCTTTCAAACTGGAAACCATCCATTGATGGGTGAAAGTTTGTTTAGACAACTTCTGATTCCATTTCTCTGGTTTCTTCTTGGTCTTGACTGTTGTCTGGTCGCTCGAAGTAACTTTGGTCACTTGCGACCGTTCCTCACTCGACACACCTGCGAAAAAGTAAACGTCAAGTTTGGTAGCTAATTGAGAAGAATGCAGTCAATAAATTGTCTACCGGTAGCACAACGAATTGGTTAGGCCTATAATTTGCCGTTTGACTTGTTACCGTTTTTGTTACCGTTCCTTGTTGTAATGTTTCTTGTCATTTGACTTCTCGGTTGAAGCATTAGAGATTCCTACCAGCTGATCTAGTACAAAAAGTTTGTATGGCTTTATCGACTTGACTTTTAAGCTGAGAATTTTTTTAAAGGCCAAAAGTGAATTCCTGTAAGCGTATTGTATTGCAACCTAAAAAATGCTGGTCAGGGGAACAAAAATTAATTTGTAATGAATTCATATGGGTACCAGGAATCGGTAGGTTGCTGTTAAAAGGGTCAAAATGACACGACAAATTTCATTAATAATTTAAAAGCAATGACCTACACTGTGAAATATCAAATGAAAACCGATTTTAAGGAAACAAAGTTTTTCTTATCATGCACCTACAGGTGATGGATGATTTTTACAATTAAAATTAAATTCTACGAAGTAGTTTATAAAAAAGTTACCGGTATTGTTTGATTTGACGCAATAACTTACTCATATTGGTTGTAATATTTTTTAAAACAATCCACTAATAAGTTAGGTACCGTAGCACACAATTAATGCCTACCTAGTAAACTAAAGTCATCCATTCAAATTTTAAACATTTGCATAATTTGGGTAAGCCCTACTATTTTGGGTTATATATCATATATATATATATATAAATATTCATATCAATGATGTTTAACATAAAATGTATTTTCGGACCATTTGTAAAAAAAAAGATTAACCTTGAATGATAATTTCTAGCATCAAAATGTTAACTGAACTATAAAATCCTAAATTATAGGTTAGTACCTATATAAGGTTATTCTGAAAACTATTCAATAATTAGGGCCTATCGCAAAATAATTCAAACACCTATCCTACTGATATATTGCACTAAAAGTAAAAGAAATTAATTAACTACCTAGGTACCGTTCTTGTAAGAATTTTTACCACTTAGTATCTGGTATTAAAATAAATTGTGTTTATTTATAGAAATTCAAATTATGCAAGAGCACAATTAATTGTGTGATAGGTCAAACTACTGCAATTTTTTTACGTGTTACACCTTATATGACAACTGTACTACTTACAACATTTTAAACTTTCAACACCCTAATAACAGCTTACCCATAGTCTGAGTACCTATAACACCCCCACAATGGGGTTCACAGAAACATACACCACTAGACACAGAATGAGAATGGCTAGAAAATGGAATAGCACACCTATCAAGACAAATAAACAAAGACACTACTTCCTTGAACAAACAACAACATGGCTGATGCACTATCACTATCAGTCTGGTTGGCTACACTAGTGTGGACTGGAACTGAATGATGAAACTAGTCAGTGACATGAGGTAGTTGTATACAGTGTGAGTCATAAGTGATACAGTCATCAACAGTGCTGCTAACCCAGTTAGGGAACAAAGAGTTTGGGAACAAAGACTTTTAAGGGTTAAAGGTTTACTTTTAAGGGACTTTTAAGGGATAAGGGGATGACATGTGTCCAGAATGCATTGTGCAAAACAGATTGTTTGAGAATGTATAGGCTGTTTAATATTATAAGTTTATTATATCCTAAATTCTAGCAGTTAGTACCTATTTAATACTGTAATATTGTTAGTGGGCCTATAACAAATTATTTATTTTATTCAATTGATTTGTTTAAATAAAATACAGGCTTTTAATTAAAAGGTTAAAATTCTAAATAAAATTTCACTCAAATTTAATAGTTAACTTACTGAATTATGCACTAAAATAAACACAAATTTATTGTTTAACTTTTAACGTTCAATCTATATCTTTTAAGCCCTTATTATATCGGATGCATACAATTTTGTTTGTTTTAATGTCAATATTGAAAAAAACTGCTAGGTACAGTAGTGTTCAAAGTCATAACGGATGGGGATCAAAGTTTTTTTAAGTTTTAATTAAGATTTACCATCAAATGTGTCAAAAGAATAGATGAGTAAAACAAAAATATGTCTAATCTAAATTAATCCAAACTTACTCCCAACCTTCCGCACAATCTACTAAATAAAATGATTTACGATACCAAAGTTTATTTTACAACTCTCTAAAGGAATAAAATATATAACAAAATATAAGTTTAGTAGTAAATAAAAACATAGCCTACCTACTGTATGATGTTCTTATTGTTTATGGTGTTAAAAGGTATCCCAAAATTAGAATTCATAGCCAGTAGAAAAGGTGAGAATGAGAATCGATAATTAATTAATAGGCTACAACTTCACAGTAAATACTTTGTCATGTTCTGAGTTATTACTTAATTAGAATTATTATTAGTGAAAATCTGCGCTGTCTCATTTCTAATAATCACTCACTGAAGCTTTTTAAGATGTTTGTTCCAACATTATTAAAATCAGCAATTTCAGTCATGACTTGGCTTTAATGGAAACAGATTAAGCAGTTTTTACGTTTGCATGAAGTTGCATTGACTGAAGAATAACTTGGACAAAGTATTTTAAACCTGACTGTCCATATCGTTAAAGATAAAAATTCATTCCCGAAAATATTTCGATTTGGCTTAAAAAAGGATGGTTTTACAGAAAAGCTAAGGTGTTTTATTGTACCAAGATTTATACATTTAAACTTGTAAAACATAAATCCAGAGTTTTAAGTTGAGTTTTCTAAAGAAATAAAAAAATATGTTTAGTTAACAATTTCTTTTGAACTGCAAATAAAATTAGCTTATATTAGAAACAATCAAATATTGACCAGCATATTACATAAAGTTTTATAACCAGAACTGTTTTTGAATTTTCGGCACTGAATAGATTTAACAACTGACTTTTCTTCATCTGTAATAACCGAAGAACTGTTGTTTCTCCATACCTCACTAAACATGATTTAATATGGTACCCAAAGTACCACTTTTGACAGTTTATTGCTCACCAAGTAAATGGCTTTTCCGCAAATAAGATTAAGATTTACGAGTATGATGTTGCTCATATGGCGAATGAGGTGTATGAGTAACACGAATGCAAACCGAGTTGAGTACGGCAATAAATGTATTTTCAGTTTATGACTACAAAACAGCAAGCTAATATTCCATCTGCATTGCATTAGGCACTCGGTGCTGGTTATAACGTAAAACTTGCAAAACGTTTTTTTAAAGATTTATGTTCTTTGACATTTGGCAGATTTTATGTTCCTTAACAATTTGGGATTAAGGACAAACAGTAACTTATTTTATTTTAAGTAACTTAACGAAAAATATTTTGAATAGAAATTAACCTAGTCTCTTAGGCATGTTTTATATGATTGAATAAATAGATACCCACGTCTATATCTATATCTAGGTACCTAACCCCTTAGAGGGAAAAGCAAATGTACAAATTTGTTTTATCGAAATTTAAAATTTGATCATATTAAGATAAATTCCTGAAATCCGTCACTTACAGGATACAGACCAAGGATTGTACTTGGATGCCAGGATTTGTTACTACTGCCAAAAAACTTGCATCTTTGAAGCCTCTTATTGAAGGGATTTTTGATCTGATGTAATTGGTAGCCTAATTTTATTTTTCGCAGGAATGTGAAGGGCTGTACCGGTATTAATTTAAATGAGTACCGGTACTTGCGGACCACCCAGATTCGAGCATGATAACAAAATGTTATGGGGTTTTTAAAATGTTTCAAAATCTTTGCTTGGCTGGCAGTTTTGCTGAGGCGAGGCGGCGTGGGTATTGTTTTAGGTTTATTCAGGTAAGTTAAATCTTAATCTTAAATTGGCCTGGCTTGGTCAAGCCAAAAGCAAATGAAAAAGTTAGCCTATCCTAAAAAAGTGTGATACATGGATAAATATTCCACTTCATTCAAGGTTAAAAAAAATCTGATATTAAAAATTATAAACCCTCGTAATCACATCGTAGTCCATATACCAGTTCCTAACAAGTTGGCTAAAGAACATAAAAATATAACTGTTAGGCCTACCTCAAAAACATGTCAATATTCTGTAAAAAAATATATTAAATGCGCCCTCTATATTATTTGATTGATCCAAAAGGACTTAATTTGAAGTAAGTTACGTACCTGATTAAGAGGTTACTTATGGTCAAGAGTTAAATTCGCCCAGGCCTATACAAAATAAAACTAGTCGTTTACCACTTAGGCTACCTGTTCTAGGAATTATTGCTAGACGGATTAGAACTGCCTAATGAGAAAAGGTGTTATAATAAAAGAGAAAACCAATGGCAAAGAAAACTGTTGAAGAATATTTACGGCAATAGGCCCTAAACAGATTTATCCATGTATTTGCATCAAGCCAGTTGAATTTTCATTACTTATTTGATTGTAGAGTCCATACTCTACTGCTTAAGTATGATCAGAAGTAAAGAAGAATTCAAGAATATTGTAAGAAGACTCCTAAAAACAAGTGGTGAAAAATATTAGTTTCCCTTAAGAGCATTAATTGGATGGTTTGTCTTTGCTCCGTTTGATAATGTTACCTTTGCTTTTTGACGAAAGAAAAAGGCTCAACATAAACTAAGACTAGATAACTTATGTAACACGGTCATATCTTGCAAAGAAAAACGTTGAATGCAGTTTACAGAGTTACTTAAGTTAATATATGAAAAATTCTCTTGATTGAAAATTCATTTTAAAACTCTCTTGATGTTTGCCTATGAATATCTACTTGACTTCATAGATAGATAATCGAAAAAGTTATGTAATTAAAACCTCGTAAACTAAGTTGGTATACTTTTTCAACAGTACAGAAGAAATCCTTTCCTCGACAAATGCAGTACGGTATCCACCCTGTCTCTATCTAAATTTAGTCAAATTAAGTTAAGTTTAGGGCCTACCTATTCAAATGAAGGTAGGCTTTAGGTACTTAAGTTATTCAAGGTAGAGTTTAGATAGCAAAGAAAAATATTTGCCAATTGAATTCAAGGAATAAAAGGAGGTCTCAGCGTTAAAAGTCAAGAAAGTTGTAAGTCAGTTAAGTGATGTCATAAAGTTATTTTAAAACATTAAAGTTGGGATCTAAGTGGGAAACAAGTAATTTGAAAACTAAAGAGTACTTTTTTGCGTTATTCCGCAAATCATTAGGCCAAGAAACGAAACCAGCTAAGCAAAGATATGTTTGTCACTGTTATGACAAGTAAGATACCTAATCCCCTCAGATTTAAAGACCTAAATCTAGATTAATGTGCTAAATCTTCTAAATGGGACTAATATTAATGGATGGTTAAGGTAAGGGGCTTAAGAATAACCTCCAACTTTCCAAACACTTAAGCTGTAGGCCCACCTAACCTAGACCCTATTATTCTAACTCAACTAGATGAATGATAACATTTATGAATTGTGCTCAGATGTGGAAAATATTTATTCCAAATTTAAAACAAGGGATCGTGATTGTAAGTCAATCGTAATTGGTTGAGTTAAAAGTCTGACTACCAAGTTATGGCCTAGTTTGATGAAGAATCAAAGCTTATTTACAACCTAAACCGGCGAACATAACCTCAACATTAAAGACATAGTAAACACGAAAACTCTCTCATAAAATATGGCAATCCATACTTGAGCTAATACTTGAGGAATATGATTGATGTCAGTAATAACAATAAGCACTGAACCTCTGAACCCATTAGAAAGAAAGTAGTTTCGAGTATAAAATCCACACTAATACTATGCTTAGAAGTTAACCTTACTTTTTACGGGTTCTTCTTTCTGAGACTTAAATAAATTCGATATGTACACAATCACTAAAACGGTCGCACCCAATATCAGGGTGATAATAAAAATTGGAAAATCAGTAATTGCACTCACGAGAAACTCCACCATAGTGAAATAATTTAAAATTACTATCACGAAAACACTCCGATTCACTCACGCACTTCACCACACACGAGGTTACTGCTGTCTGTATAAATGGCGGGAACTGAATTGCTGATCAGCTGCGGGCTCGTTGATACAGTAGGCAGTGAGTGAGAGATGTTTGTTGAAGCATTGTCCGCTGGGCACCGCTGTTGTAGAACACACTATTAAAGTTGTAGTACACATCACCGACGTGGGGGACAACTGTCAGGGTCTAAATCTAGCTCTGAACTCCTTCCTCTCTTAATCTCGCTGACGAAGTGAACCTTTAGCCGCCAGCACATGCAGTGGCTCCCCTCTACACCTCTTGACTCACTTTCCGACCCTCTGACGTCACGGATGGCGGGGATCCCCTCCCATGTTCACGCACCGCATTCTTCTCGCTCGCATTTCCTTGGAAACGCCGGTCTTGGCCGGAATCCCGTAGCCTCTGGGGATAGTCACAGATACACGTCATTTGAGCTGCAATCTGGCAATAGCAAACTGCACAATCACAAATTTCCCCCCTGAAACCATCTGAAACTTACCAAACGATTTACTTGCAACTCTGTGCGGCAAAAATGTCTGCGTTGTTTGCCATTTGATTGACGCTCATTAGTATGCAAATGATTTTAATAATTATATACCTATGTTTCTTTACACTCATAGAACTTGTATAAGTTACATATTAAAACATGCTTAGTGATTAATCAATTTTAGCTTAATAATACCATTGAGTATAAACCTAATTAGGTTTATACCTAAGTTAGGTTTATACTCAATGATAATACCAATGCTCTCCTATAATATTCTAAAAGTTTATCAAAGAAAGATGATGTACATACATAGATGATTGCATACATCTTCTACGACGATCATACACAAATCAATGTGTTTAAATCCTAAAATTACTCAGCAACCACATCTTTCTCTGGGACCATAAGAATGTCCAATCAAAATAGTTTTACTGATAAATTACTTTAAAAATATTTCTACAAATTGAATAAATATTTATAATAGTAAGCAATTCAAAACTCCTAAGATCAAATAATAATGAGAATTGGGAACAAACGGTTATAGTCAATAATGTAATATCAATATTGCACCTACCTTTTTTTTAATAGGATAACAAATTCTCTTCAATCGCAAAGGTCTTTCTTCTTCTTCCACAGCCTTCTAAAGGTGTTGACACTCAGATTTCTCAGAAAGTGTATTTTATCACATTCTGACGTAACAAATCTCAACTTTCACTCAACCGCTTTTTCTGAACTCTTTAAATTTTTTCACAGAATGAGGAAATGCCAGTTTCAAGTTATATATAGGTCTTGACATTTTACAGTAGTTAGATAATGTATTGTTTTATCTTACTGAATAAATAATTCAAAATTGAAAATACACATTCATGTATAATTAATGGACATAGATACTTTAGCAAACACACTTTAACCTGTAAATGAATTTGTTTTTAATCACTAACGTATAATTTGTTACCAAGTTATTTCAATTAGGCTATTAAAAATTAACTCCGGCCTAATATTAATTTTGTAAACACGTACAGTATTTCAAATGGTTTTATATTACTTAAAACAATATAAACGTATAAAATAGTAATATTTATTGTGTTTTATATTTTAATACTGAGCTACAATGAATAAATGTTACACTTGATTTTCAATTATTATACAGGATATGAGGTCAATGAATAAATCAGTTACCATAACATTTTGTTTATTATTCAAACTACAATATCAAAAGTATAAAATTAATATTAACAAATTGTTTCTTATTTGTTACATTATAACATTGTGATTTAAAACTTATTCAATTCGATTTGAAACTACTCACTACTATATCTAACATCGTTATAAAATAATTATTTATTCTATGCTACAATAAAAAGTGATTAACATATTTGGTCAGACTATATTCTTGGACGGACAACTACGGAAGCAAGTTTTATCTGAAGGTCTACTACATACATACAGTATCATATTTGTTAACTTTAAAACATAAGTGACAGTAACAGTACAAAATTCTGCGAAATTAATTTTTTTTTCTAATTGAAAACTCCACTATATAGAGATGTAAGTATAAATAGTGAGATCAAAAACGAATTGTGTATTCCTTACATGATATACACAACATGAGATTCATACATACATGAGATAATTTAAAATATGGCTTTTTTGTACCCATCGTATTTTATAGTACCAAAGCTATAACAAAATTAAAATTACAAAACTTATATGGCTCTACATAACATTGGCAACATAATTATATACTTCTTTAGTCTTCAAGTAAATTAAAATCTAATTTAATATTGGATAAAAAATGAATGTTTAAACTACTTATCGTTTCAAAGACCTTAATACGAGTAACAAACTTGAGGAAAATCAAGAATTGACCACGGGCAATACAAAAATCCATTTTAAATATTTACGAATTTGTCATTTTTAGTATCCAGTATGATAAAGCTAGCAAAATTATATTTTAAAAGCATTATAGCTCTAGATAAAATTCCAAAAATATGGCAACTCTTCATCATTCAAATCAATTACAATCTAAATCTAATTCGGATAAAATACTAATTGGTTAACTACTGACTACTCTAAAGACTTCATACGAAGTATCTTCACACTTTGGCAAATTGAGGCTTGACTAGGGAATACAAAATTCTTTTCGGTCAACTTAATGGAGGGTGTTCATCTACTTCTCGACCTTTCTTCGAAGATAGTCGTGAACCTTTTCAATGACGAGGGCCAACGCAGCTTTAGCATCTTCTGCCGGATCGTGTCCTTGCCCAGATTCCTGAATTCTCCTTCCAAGGACCTCCCACGCGAGATTCTTCAGCGATCGTCGCACCGGAAACCCTTTAGGATGCGGATACAAGATGGCCGAGTCCACCACTAGATGATGTATTATTTTCAAAACCCTCAAGTCATTCTCTAGACCGTGGCCGACTATTATGGTTTGTGAGTTCATATGGCTGTTGAGGACCTTGCGGAGATGTTTAAACGTTATCTTTTTCTCGGTAAGATATTTCTCTTGGGTGATTCCAGAAAATCTTGAGTTGAAATCCACGATTTCGTACTGGGTCTGAACTAGAGTTTTGAATATGAGGCATCCAAAGATGTCCAGCAAGGCCACGCTGGCTACTTCCATTCCGGACAAGGTGTACACCATCTCGCAGTCCAGAGCGACAATACTGAGTTTTGGAGTTCCTTCGAGTTTGGTGAACCCTCTCAACTCATTCTCCCCTGCATTCAGCCCGCTCCAAACGTGTTGTTGACTTTGAGTGCATCCTTTAGACTGCGCGAGTCCACCGCAACACTCATAACTCTCTGACCGCAATTTCGCCCAATGGTACCGACAAGATTCTTTAGTGTAATACGAGAAATTGCTTTTGTTTATGTAGAAGCTTTTTTCGCATCGAGCACATATTTTTTCACACCATCTCGTTTCTCTGATGTTATGAACGATTTTCCCCGCATTAGGATTGTGTACGATCGTCACGTTGGGATTGGTCGGGCTTTCAACAGGATACCCGTGTTTTTTCAACGCCTCCAGGTTAGGAATGAACAATGCCACTTGGTCGTACACTTTAGAGTTTGCCGAGTCAATGACGTTACTAGAGCGTTTCATAGGTTCTTGGTTCACTTCAAGCTCTGTTTTTACTTCTATTACATTTATTAAATTGTGCGTTATCACCTCATCATCGGACGTGCATTCTTGCTTAATTTGCACGGGCGCATTTACTTCCACTTCTTCGTCGTCGGATTCAATCTCAATGATTCTAGCTGGAGAATTTTCAACTGCTTCCGATGTAAGATCAATGAAGTGAATCAGTAATGGCATGTTTCCTGCCGAAGTTGATGGAGCATTAAGAGCGTCTGCTTGGAACAAATTACTTGGTTGGTAACCTGCGTATCGAAAAACTGTGTTTGGAACGAGAGATGGTCCTTCAGGTGTAGCTTGATCTCCATGTGGTGCTGACGTTGATGGGCGAGATGTCGTTTGCTCAGCCCCACTGGAAGAGGTGTCACAGTTGTTTTGCTGCCCAACATTACCTGCTTCGATTCTGTTCTTCTTGGGCTGCTGGACATTTTCGAACTGGCCTTCAGCTCCATCTGGAAACAGAAAGATGATCTTCTACAACAGAATCTTCAAAATTGTCGGCCTCTAACAAGTTGAAGGAAAGCGGGAGAGGAGTCAAGGGTAATACGGTTGGACTCAAGGAAGGATAGTGAATATTCCAAAATGACAACAAAGGGTGTAAAATATTCTCCTTCAGAGTAGCATTGGAAGTCATAAAAGTGTAATTTTGATACCTCAGATACATGTACCGGTAATCATGAAAAATCTTCATGTCAGTACTAAATATTTGACTTTTCAAACTTGTCACCCTAGGAGGTAGGCTCTGGTCCGAAACCGTTTCACATTACTTAAAGCTAATCATAGAGAGTCGCTTCATTTTCACTTAGATAAAATCCATTGGCGGGATTTGAGCCCCGGAGCCTCCTGGGGCCCATTTCATAATAAAGTACAAACTAATATTATTAGTAAATCAGCTGATCGCCCAATGCAAATCTAATGGAAATTACAAGTTACAAGTTGTAACTTGTAACTTGTAGTATATTATGAAATGGGCCCCTGGACTGAATTACCGTTCTTTACCACTAGGGTCGCTTAATATTGTGTTACTTTTATATCAGTAAACTCTTCAACGCATAGCTTTCCTACCTCAATCAGGCTACGATTATCAATCAAACACTTCAATTTTGTTTTAATACATTTTCCTACAGTTACCTAACAACGTACATGTTCTCTCACTGATTTGAGAAAGCAAAGTGGCCAATTCGCTCATCATGTTAACATTGTCTCACTCTAATTACTTTGTCTCACTCCAGATTTGCAACGTGAAGGCACGTTTCTTTACCAATTTATTTGTTTTATGGTAACTGTAGGAAAAATATAAATAACTATTCTCATTATCTTGTTAACAATCTGAATGAGGTTAAAAATTCAACAGAAGTAAATCAGCTGTTAAATCACAATTCACATTTAAACCCATTGTAAAGCAAGTTGGCTAGCACATGGTCCTTTGAAAGCGGCTTCTAGAAATAAAGCAAAGCTATGTAGCGAATTCCTAAAGGAAATTGTCTTTTTACTTGCAAGTATCTGCCTTCCGTTCCTGCACTAGATCAATGAAACCTCAATCGTAAAAATCAGTCAAGTAGGACAAATAATAAAGGAAAGTTACAGAGAAACGCCTTTTTAGCGAATTTCCC